AGCTTTATCCTTCTTAGCATGCTCATCCGTATCAGCTCAGGGCCTATATGAGTCTGTATACGGAGAGAGTATCGCATATCCCTTTTAAGCATGCTCATCTGTATCGGCTCAGAGACATATGAATCAATATACAGAAAGAATATCGCAGATGTCACAAACAATATTAAATAACCAAGAGTAGTTCTGGCTTGGGAGCACATATATTACGTTCTAATATTCAACATTATTAAAAATAACTCATGGAAATCTTTGCCTCTGATCATCAAACTTAAAAAATTTGCATTATTGTCACTGCTGGTTCAAATTTGATACCATTTTGGTCACAATACGTAGGGGTAAAGCAGACAACTGGGTTCTGTGGGCAGAGTGGTTAACCCAGCACCCTGCTAAGGTGTTTCCCCTTTGGGAGCACAGGTTTGAATCCTGTGCAGACGGTTGCATCTTTTTTTTGTTTTTGCTTGTGGTGCACACATTACTATCCTGTTTCGATATATCTTCATGATTAATTATGATCTCTCCAAAGTGGTCATGGCAAGACATATGCAGCAATGGCCGAGCTGGTCTAAGGCGTCACGTTTAGGCCGTGATCTCTTCGGAGGCGTGGGTTCAAATCCCACTTTCTGCACTGGAGGTTAGTAACAAAATTTGGCCAAAGAAAAATTTAATTTCTTTTCTCCAACCCTTGCTCCATCCGAGATGTGTGAAACAAAGTATTGTCGAAACTTCACAAGAAATATCACCTGCATCTATTTTCGCGGTGCAATCTTGATGCACTATCACACAATTGGGCCCAACCGAGAATTGAACTCGGGACCTCAACCACCCTAAGGTTGAATCATACTACTAGACCATTGGGCCAATGGACTTTTATAATTTACTATGGTCTAGTCATTGTGTCCCATGTCAAATTGTGAGGTTTGACTAGAATTTGCTTGACAATAGTGATTCTGTCAATCTGTACGCCACCAATATGTAGATATTAGTCTATACAACCGTTAACTATCACAACAATCTATAAATAACAACACGTCAGAACTTGTAGACGCCGTCGGTCCTTGGGGTCTGGCTAAAGTGGCACCACGGGACAAGGGACACGTATATAAAAAGTACCATTAAGCGTGTACGGATAACCTGTAGGCGACGTGACGTGACATGGCTATGTAACGAGAGTCGTATACTTCTCAATATGCAAAAAGGACAAGGTATATGGAAATGGAACCTTATATTGATGAGAGAGATACGTCCTACATTGGAGATGTTAACTTCCAAGGAGTTTGGAGAAAGGAATCTACAAATCGCCTCTTAACAGAAAGGGGCGTTAATCACCATAATGCTGACCTTTGATATGTGTGCGATAT